ACAAAAAATACTGAAAAATGAGACAATGGTTGAGTTGATAAATTAGAAAGAGATATGGTATTTCATCATGCCAACTACGGTTTTATTGTTGCCACATGCGAAGGTGACAAAATTATTAGATCGGCCAAAACAACCGACCCACACAAAAAGATTTACATCAGTGGCAATAACATTAATTTGTTCTTGGTGATAAAGATTGTACGAGAATTGTTAATTACCAAATATAATCTTATGAAAACCGACAGTTCAACTGATAAAGAACAAAAATTAAGAAAAAATAGAGGAGTGAGCCAATGACAAATTGCCTAAATATATGATTGACTTACAAAAACAGCTAGAAAACCAAGAAAGTGCTGCTAATGCGATTATTGATAAAGCCGAAAAAATAAAAAAATTTAAGGGTGAAATTTATCGATTAGCAATGATTAACATTATTGAGGAATTAAAAAAGCATCTGGCATAGATTATTAATAATTACAATTTATAGTGAGAGAATGGTGAATTAACTTGAAAAACTAAGAAATAAAAAATATTTAACTAATGTCAAGTGTAGAATTTACGATAGTGGGTGATTGAAATCTTCAAGGGAGTAATAAGAAAGATTTGTATATCAGCCTTGTAGCCAAAATTGACGATTGAAAGAAAAATATTATTTTCTATAAAAAGGATATCAGCAAGAAAGCTTTTGACTTTCTTTTGCAACAAATTTTGGAAAATAAACCTAGAAGTGGCTGAAAGTTTTCCGTAATTACCCGTGGTGGATACATGAACTCTATCTTTATTTCTCAACTTCTCTGAATAAAGGACGAGTTTGGAAGCATAATCTTTGAAGAGGGAGATAATTTTTATTGCTAAATAGACAAAAAGTTTTGGATTATTCTTCTTAATTTAGTGATTGCTTTTCATTATTTGCAAACAGGAATTTAGAAGACAATTTATTTTTTCAAAACAATAGGTCATTTTCCTCCTTACATTTCTTCTCCAATAGTCTTTTTTCAAAAAAAAGAAGCAAAAAACTCCCAAAAGATAAAATTGTTATTATATCATTTTCTAAAAAATATGTCAAAAAAAACTAAGTTAATCATTAGCGAAAAGGAAATCGACATCCTGGCTGAAAAATCCCTAAGAGAAGCCAAAAATTTCTCAAACGTGGAAATAATAAGAAAAAAATACCTAGAAAAGGGAGGTGTAATCTCTCAACTTTTTCAGCAAATAAGTCAAGAAAGAGATTTAGACAAGAGAAAAAAATTAGGTAGTTTAATTAACAATTGAAAAATTGAACTAACTTTCAAAGTTAAAGAAATCGAAAAAAGAACAAAAGAGAAGAATCTAGAAAAAGAAGAAAAATTAGACATTTACCTGGAAGGAAAAAAATATCCTTTGGCTAGTCTCCACCCCATTACCCAGATTATCCAAAAGATTTATGCTATTTTTCTTCTGCTTGGCTATCAAGTTGCCGAAAGTACCGAAATAGAGACCGAAGAATATAATTTTAATAAACTAAATATACCGACGGAACACCCAGCTCGGGACATGCATGATACTTTTTATCTAAATGCTAATTTACTTCTCCGCACCCACACTTCTAATACCCAAATAAGAGTTATGGAGAGTAATCCTAATCAGGAACTAAAAGTTATCACGGCCGGTAAGGTTTATCGACGAGACGAAGACGACGCGACTCATACACATCAATTTACCCAAATAGAAGGATTTGTAGTTGGTCGTGATATTTCTTTTTCTCACTTAAAGGGTACTTTAGAATTGGTTTTAAAAAAAATTGTTTGGTGAAGATCATCCGATTCGTTTTCGCCCTTCTTACTTTCCTTTTACTGAACCAAGCGTGGAAGTGGACGCCCAATGCCCTCCTTGCCAAGGAAAAGGCTGTAATATCTGCAAAAAAGACTGGCTGAGTGGAAATACTAGGAGCCGGTCTCATCCACCCCCAAGTCCTCACTAATTGTGGTTTTGACCAGTCCCAATTTACTGGTTTAGCCTTTGGACTGGGAGTAGAAAGATTATTAATGATTAAGTATGGCGTGGAGGATATTCGTCATTTTTATTTGAATGACATTCGATTTTTAAAACAATTTAGATTTATGAATTAAAAACCCTTTATTTTCCTCTGCTTATTATTCCTCATTATTACTAGGAAGGTTACTACTACACCCACCGCTATTGCCACCGGAATAAGCACTTTGGGTTGGAAGAAACCACCGAATGGAGAATTAGTTTTATTACTTGACTGAATAAACCCTTGTTCAACTAATATTTCATCTACTTGGGATTTATTAATTTGATAGGCTTGCTGATGATAAGTATTAGCATCCGAAATATATTTGAATAAATCACTGCCTTTTTCTTTAGCCTTTTTATTTTTACCTAACTTCTTGATTTCTGCCAATAACTCACTTAACTTCTTTTTGGCTATTGCTAAATTAACTTGGTGAATAACTTCTTCCTCGGTCTTCCTCACTTGAGAAGCATCAGCAACCTTTCCGTTTTTTAAATTTTCTATTTTTTCTTGGGTTTCCTGATCCAATATCAATGTCCCCGCTGCCGATATTCTTTCAGCAATATTTCTCGCGGCTAATTTTCCGTATTTTTGTGGGTCATTTTGAGCTAATTTATCTTTTAACTTATCAACTCTTTCTTTTTGCTCTTGATAGGCTTTTTGCCCATTATTTTGCTTTTCAATTTTTTCTAATTCTTTTTCTTGTTCTTTGGAAGATTTTGACTCAATTCCTTGGAGAGAATCACTTATTTCATTTTTTGC